AATCGGCCCAGTCGACTCGCCTTCAAAGAGCACGAGCTTCCGTGGTTCGTGCAGCAGCTCTTGGTCCCAGCTCTGGCGATCGCCGCCGGCGATGATCCACTCGAGACACTTGGCGATGAACTTCTCGGCACGTGGGCGTTCGAACGACGTGATCGAGGGGCTGATAAACCGACCGATCCCTTCGTTGTCGATCGTGCAGACCGACAAGTCCCGGCCGATCTCGACGCCTTGCTCCCGCGCCGCCCGGACGACTCCCAGCGCAGCGGGCAGCGTGATGCACAGCACCGACGTGGCGCCACGCCCTTCGGTAGCCAGCCACTGCCGCGCCGAGGCAATCGCCGACTCAAAGATATTGCCGTCGGTCGTGCAGGGATCGTCGTAAACCGTGCCGGTTATCTCAGGCTGCTTCCCAATCCATTCCCGCCAGGCGTCGATCCGGGCCATCGTAATGGCGTTGTGCCCCTGCACGTTGAGGCAATCGATGCGCTCGTGGCCCAGGCCCACCAAGTGATCGAGTAACTTGCTCGTATGCCGCGGCGGGAACAAGACCACCGACGGGATGCCAAGCTCCGTCAGGTCCTCCGACAACGCGACCACCCCGTTGGCGTTGGCGAGCAGGTTGGCGATCCACTGCGGGATCGGCTCGGAGTTCGTGACGAGGAACACGCCGTCGAACTGCCGCAACGACTCGGTGATGACCGGATCGTCCCAATGCAAGTAATTCTGCACCCGGATCCGCGCGTCGTGCGCCCGCGCAACGTGCTCCGATACAAACAGCCATTGCTGAAGGTCCGGCGAGAACGAATCGGGCGCGAGCGACGGCGTCAAGAACGCAATCTCACGGCCCGCGGCGCTGTCGCCCTCCTGTGACTTGGGTTTGGGGCGCCGATTTGACGCCCGTTCAACGAGCCCCTTGCGCTCAAGTTCACCGAGCGCCTTACGCAACGTCGCGCGGCTCACGCCGCACTCTTCGGCAAGGTCGCGCTCCGCGGGCAGGCCGGTACGCGCGTATTCGCCGTTGGCGATCCGTCGTTCGAGGAAGTCGGTCAGTTGTACGAGTTTCGATCGGCCCATTTCACGCCAGCGTCACCGTTACAGCCAAGCCACGAGGCCGCCCGGGGTGCGGATTCGCAAAGCGAAGAGTACGGACCCACCCACCACCAATCAAGGCGACGACGCCCGCCGATGACGTTCCATGTCGGCGCCGGCCTTTCAGCCTAATCATCGCGAGGCCCGCCGCGATCGCCTTTCAGGAACTCGCCTTCGGGCGATCTAGCCGACTACCGACCGCCTCAGAGCGATACGTCTTTTTTTACCAAAATTGGTCCACATCCGTTGCGATGTAGACCAATTTTGGTCTGCTCTTAGGTATTGGATCGCTTCCGCCGACAAGAGTGGCGTTGCTCAGGGGGGGTCACCCGTTGCTGACCGCCCGGTAAGGAACGTCCCACACGCTCTTCACTCCTCTGTTCACGCTGTGCTGTTCAGGCCGTCCAGGTCTTGGCGGCTTTCTAATCTGCGTCCCTTATCTGCGGCCTCATTGTCACTCGACTCTTGAAGGAGGGTTCTGATGCGTAGCGCAACTACGTCGGTAGCGTTGATCGCCCTGATGCTCATCGGCCTTTCGCCGGCACAAGCGCAGATCGAATGGATCGGCGCCAACAGCGACGATGCCCTGGACGGGACCAACTGGGACGGCGGCGTCCTTCCCGGCGTCAGTGATAGCGTCGTCTTCCGCAACGGTGGCGATTCGAAGCCGCTGGCGGACTTCGGCGCCGCGGACGTGGAGTGGGCCCACATGCTCATGAATCACGCCGACGTTGGTACGACACTAACCGGCGCCGGCACGATCACCTTGAACACGCCCGGCGCCGGGGTCGATATCGGCGTCAAGAGCTTCGAGACTCAGGGCGGCGAACGTCTCTCGGTGATCCACCCGAACATCATCGCCAACGGCGTGATGGAAGCCCGCAACGGCCACAACGTTGTCTTCGAAGGGGACGTCACTTCCTACACGCTGCACTCGTACAACAACTCGGTCTTCACGTTTAACGGTAACTATACCCAAACGGCCTACGACGGCAGCGAGTTCTTCACCGGCAACCACGAGGGGAGTTCGATCGTCTTCAATGGCGGCCTCAATCTCGACCGTCCCGCGTTCTACGGCGACCTCGGCATCCGCAACGGCCTCACCGTCGCCTTCGGCCCCGATGTCGTGCTCACCAAGACCGGGCCCTTCGAGACAACGCCCGGCCTCGGAACAGTGAACCTCTACAACCAGTCCACCGTCCGACTCGACGGCGATAACGCGCTCGACGCCAACACCGACCTCTTCTCTCGTGACGGCGGCGGCGTTGGTGAGAATACGCTTGATCTCAACGGCTTCAGCACGACGGTCGAGTTCATCGCCACGGTGCCCGACGCCGGCCCCACCAGTTTTGTCGTCGATTTCGGCGAACAAGCCGGCGCAAATACCTTTCGCTGGCTCGCGTCGCACTGGATGCCGGGCAACTACAAGATCACGAACTTCGAGGTCGGCGTCGATACGCTCGAACTCGGCGAGCTGGGATCGTTCTTCTGGACCGCCGAGGACACGACGACCGAAGGCGGCGGCTCGCCCGACATCGAGGTCAAGAAGTCGCAGATCACGATCAACGGCCTCTCCTACGCGGCCTACGACCCGCTGAAGACCGACGCCTACTGGACGCTCGTCGATCCCACCGTTAGCCGTGCGATCGAGGTCTTCAACGCCCCGCTCTTCGGCGACTTCAACGACGACGGCGAAGTGAACGCGGCTGACTACACCGTCTTCCGTGACAACCTGGACGGCAACTCTGCAGCGCTGAATGGCAACGGATCGGGCGCCGCCACAGTCGGTCCCGCCGACTACCAGCTCTGGACGCAGAACTACGGCCGGACGAGCGGCTCGTCCGTTGCGATCCCCGAGCCCGGCGCGATGCTCCTCGCTCTTACGGGCGTGGCGTGGTGCGGACGCTCGCGCCGTCGAACCTCCGTGTGATCCGTCCTCTTGATACTGCTGCTTGTCTTGTCCTCGCTTTCGCTTGTCTTGTCCGAGGTAGAAGGTCTCATGATTGGCTTCTGGTGCAAACGCTCTTTGGTTGTGGCTTTAGGACTTGTCGCGAGTCCGTCCCTGGCCGTGACGACGACATGGCTCGGCGTCACGTCGGGCGACGTCAGCGACCCAACGAACTGGAGCGCCGGCATTCCTGGCGCCGCCGACGAAGCGATCGTCGTCACCGCGCCTAACGCGCCGGATTTGCTGGGTAGTTCGGTCACTTGGGGCAAGTTGACGCTCAACGGCGCCACGGACATCGCCGACAGCCTCGGCGGGGCGATCCTCAACTTGGCTAGCGAGGACATCGCGCTGTTCTCCGGGGGCGCCCACAGTTCGACGATCGCACCGGCGCTCAATGTCACGGGAAAGATTCAGACGAATGGCGAGCACAACGTCGCCTTCAACGGCCCTGTCACCGCGGCCAAGGTCGAATCCTTCGGCACAGCAGTCGCCAGCTACAACAACTCACTCACGCTTACGGACAGCTTCGTCACGATCGGCGCCGACGCGGAGATCGTGATCAACAACACCCTCAATTGGAACTTCGCCGGCGAGAAGGGCTACAACGGCGGCGGGGGCGCCTTCGTTATCGGCGCCGGCTCGACGGTCAACTTGGGCATCTTCAACCTGTTCGATCAGGCGACGGTCCGCACCGACGCGGACAACGTCCTCACCGGCGCCACCGACCTCTGGGGCCGGCACGCCAACTCGACACTCGACCTCAACGGCTACAGCCAAGGCGTCGAATTCCTCGCGACGAACGCGGGCTCGAACATGGTGATCGATTTCGGCGCAACGCCGGGCGCCAACACCCTGGTATGGGACGCGTCCTTCAATAGCGGCGGCACGTACGACGTCGTCAACTTCGAGGCCGGAATCGATACGCTCGAGTTCGGCCAGTACGGCAACGGCCTCGGCTTCAACGACCCCACGCTGCTCAGCCAGATCACTGTCAATGGCGCCGCCTACTCGGCGTCGAATCCCGGCGGCGGCCTGAGTTGGTGGAACGCCATCGCGACGCCCAATGCCGGCGACGACCCCGGCCGCCAGATCGCCGTCTACTACGCGGCCGTGCCCGAGCCAGCCGCGCTGGCGATGGCCGTCGGCGCGGCGTTGGTTGCCAGCATGCGTCGATCGAACAGGGCCTTAGTGTGAGGAGAGAGTGGGGTGGACTCCCGCCAAAGGCGAGGCGCCGCAGGCTTGGCGCTGGCGTCTTCCAGCGCCAAGCCGTGCCGCCAACCGAGACCTCGTAGATACCGAGAAGTATGAACTTCCATCGCAAAGCAACGAGAGGCAAACGCTGGCGATACGCCGCCCGGGGCTGTCGGTTGCTAGTCGCGGCGCTGGCGACGGCTTGCCCTCCCGCTGACGCCTCGTTGTTCCAACACCTCGACGCCTCCGCGCCGGGCTCACTCGTCAATCTGGGCGGACAGCTCACTTGGATCGACCGATCAGGCAACGGTCACAACGCCATCGACACCTCAACTGGGTCGGGATCGGTGTCGCTATCGAACGACGACTCCATCTTCCCCACCGGTCTCCCGAGCGTACGCTTCATCGGCTCCGGCTGGAACAACTAC